TCCCAAAAAATCGGGGTCGCGTGTTTGGGAACGAAATCACACGGTCAAGGTCTGCACCTGCCAGGAAGCCGTGTGGCAAAGTCCCTGGGCAGTTCGAAATTTGGAATGAAGGGGTGGCAAGGGGGCACGTTCGGCGCCCGCTCCAGAGCACTCGTCGCTGACGGGCGGGATTGGAGTTTGCTCAGACGCTTGGGGCCGCTCGGGTCGTGCACCCGCGGAGCACACACACTCACTCTCATCGGCACACTCCCGGAAAACGGGCCAAACGCCCGCCGCAAACTGCGCGGCGGAACCAGTGTTTCTGACTTACAGAGCCAGGTTGTGCAGCTTTTGCAGACAGCAGGCGGCCGCGAGAGTCTGCTCGGCGCTCTCTCTCCATCCTCAAAGCTCGGGAAGGCGAGAACGAGGGAGCCAGTCCGCGGGAGAGAAGCCCGCTAAGAAATATACAGGAAAAAAAAATTAGCCGGGCGTGGTGGCGCATGCCTGTAGTCCCAGCTACTCGGGAGGAGGCTGAGGCAGGAGGATAGCTTGAGCCCAGGAGTTGGAGGTTGCTGTGAGCGAGGCTGACGCCACGGCACTCACTCTAGCCTGGGCGACAGAGTGAGACTCTGACTCAAAATAATAATAATAATAATAATAAAAGTTATGCAGAGCCACACAAGTGATGAGAGATCGAGGACTCTCTGCAGCAGCCGGACACGTCCACTCTCAACTTTGCAAAAGGAAATCTTGAGCTCAGAGAGAAAACCTCACACTTATCCCTGCTCCGTCCCCCTGGAGTTCTGATTTTGCCATTCCAAGCTTTGACAACTGTCAGGATGAGTTTAGTTGCTTTCTTGATTCTGTGACTCTCCGGAGAAACCTCGGGGGGAACCCTAGTTTCAGCTTTGTGATGTTCGAGAAGGGACTAGAAGCATCCAGAAAACTTTTTTTCTTCCCTTACGGCCTCTATTCTCTCGATCCATTTTCCTCTGTAGTCTTTGCTCAGTTTTCCGCACTTAATCTCTACTATTCTCAGCCACGGCCGTGAACAGTGACGTCAATAAGAAATGTTCACAAATGCCTGCTAAGGGCAAGGAGCTCTGCTATCTCATTTTCCCCACAATTTTCATTAGGTAGAAACTATTATCTTTGCCTGTCATCCTAGCTCTCTGGGAGGCCGAGGTGGGAGGATCGTTTGAGCTCAGGAGTTCGAGACCGGCCTGAGCAAGAGTGAGACCCCGTCTCCACTAAAAAAATAGAAAGAAATTTAGCTGGGTAACTAATATGTGTGTGTGTGTGTGTGTAAAATTAGCCGGGCGTGGTGGCGCATGCCTATAGTCCCAGCTACTTGGGAGGCTGAGGCAGGAGGATCCCTGAAGGTCAGGAGTTTCAGACCAGTAAGAGCAAGAGCAAAACCCCTGTCTCTACTAATTAATTGATCAACTAAAAAATATATAGAAAAAATGAGCTGGGCATGGTGGTGCATGCCTGTAGTCCCAGCTACTCAGGGAGGAGGCTGAGGCAGGAGGATCCCTTGAGAAAGAAATTAATTGGCCAACTGAAAATATATAGAAAAAATTAGCCGGGCGTGGT